ACTTCTAGTCAGATACAAAAAAAAATTCTAGAAATACATCAAGAGTACCATGACTCTTTCAGTTGAACCCCCAAGTTTTGTTGTGCATAAGTTAATATTCCAACAGCTGCCTGAAAAATCAAAAGACATCTTTTAATTACTACGCGTATGATGCTTTGGCTTAAAATCTGAATTCCAGAGGACAATAGGAAAGGCCAAACTAAAACCTCATGCTGATGTAATTGATTGTTGATATGAATAAGTGCTTCAACTACAGCAACTTGATTTGTATCTCTTCTATTGGACCGTGCACCTTCAAACTCCATTTCTTTGTAATGCAAGGCCTTTGCAAATGCACGACACTGAAATAAACAATATCATTATGAGAAACCCCATTGAAGCACACAGAGCTAATCACAGATTCAATGCCAGAATTAAAAAACATGCCTTTTCTGCAAGAGCACCAAGAAGACGTATGTCAATAGGAAGAGGTCTCTCGTCGTGTTCCATAAACTCTGCCTGCAACATCAGGGTCAAAGTATTTGACTTAACTGCAGACTCACAAGTAAGAAGAATGCTGAACCTTCAATAATCAAGACATTGTCCATCTCCTAACAAAGCTAAATGGTTTTTGAGTTTAATATGTGCCACTAATGGACAGAAAATAAACACAACTTTGTCATAAGTCATAACATTTAAAAACAATTCAAACTAGGAGACATAAATGCATTCCACTTTGGCACTTTGCATTTTAAGATGCCAAACTTTCCAAAAGTTTATTAAATGAAAAGTCTTAAAGTGCCTTGCGGATTTAAATGGGTTGGTTTTTGTTGTTGAATTAAACTAAATTTAAGGTTTAAAAAATAATAATTGCAAACACTAGAGCTTGAAATGCTAACAGTATTGTTATATCTTCCCAAACAAGGCACTTATGTATTGCAACCCATTAACCCTAATAAAATTTGACTCATGCAATGCATACATTCCATACATACAATGTGTATGCATTATGTGTGAATATTTGTGTGTGATATACAGTCATGTTATTCATATACTATGAATGGGCGGGAATGTGGGAAGAGGTAGACCTAAGAGAACTTGGAAAGACGTGGTTAGCCAAGACCTTAGACTGTTAGCCCTTACCGAGGATATGACTATAGATAGGAGTTTTTGGAGAGATAGAATTAGGATAGTTGGGTAGTATGGCGTTAGCTTTGGCGCTTAACAATGTGTGCCTCATTTTTTCCGCCTACTGTATGTTTCTTTCTGCATGCTCTGTGCTTGTGTTACTCGAGCTGGAGGTCTCTTCGAAATAGCCTCTCTACTTCCGAGTAGAGGAAGGTCTGCGTACACACACCCTCCCCAAACCGTACTTCCGTGGGATTCTATCGGGCTGTTGTATGAATTATGATGTGCATGTTGACTTACAATATCAATACCATAGTGGAGAATAGTCATAGCAAGCATCTCAATTCATTCATCGTTTCCTCATGATATTTTTTGTGCAAGTGGAAAACCATATAGTGATTCCTCATTCCTTATTACTTGACAGCGTTGGGCATAAATTTGATCAATGTGCTTTTTTGCATGAATCTTCACTGTTAAATAATTCTAGACAACTAATTTAGACTAACAATTTTCTGTCATTAACCCCAATGTGGTTCGGAATAAGGCGGTGGTGAGGATGGTGGTGTGTTTGTGACTTTGTGTGTGTGTGTGTATGAGAGGGGAGAGAGAGATCAGAAGTTGCAAATTCCATAGTATTGAGGTCAGTTGAACAGTTAAGTTGCACAAGGAAATAGACACAAAACCTAAAGAAACATATGTTGAAAATTTCATTACACACATATCTAGTTATGCATATTGTTTCTCTCCCATTATTCTACTACTTGTGTGACACAATGAAGTTATGCCTCACCGACAACTGGTGTCTCCTCACTATCTGCCAAGCCTAGTAACATGTTTTTCATTAAATGAATCATTAATCTATGAAGATGTGATGATTACACGATAAGAGATGGTGAAACCTCTATATACATAAATAAAAACCAAGAATCTAATTTAATTACATTTAAAAGATATCACAAGACGGAATTGAATTTAACCAAGTTGAGGAAAGTCATTAGAAATATAACAGGGAAACACCTACCAAGTTTAAAAGAGTTGCCAGGATCTCAGGGGGTATATTTGGAGAGGAAAATGCCATTTCTAAACTCCGTACTAGCTGTTTTTGAGTGGCTTCATTCAGTTTTGACCAGCAACTAACAAAACCAGCTGCAAACAACTCCCGTCCAACGAAGGGCTGGAATACTTAAACGTCAGAGACAACGCAAATTATCTCAAATGCAAAATAGGTTGCTGGGCTTTCTCTACCTAATTTTCATCATTTTTGTTATTGGGTGTGGTTTATGATTCCAGATAAATACTACGTATATAGCAATACCTGTAGTTGAGCAAGTCTGGCACAAGTTCTTAAAGCTGGACTTGGTGATTCCTTCAGAAGTTCAATGCTAAAATGCCTCATCCATTCCGCCCAGTCCTCTTTCGTACTACGCTGAGAAGCTTCGCCGGCAGTCCGTAATCGGCCATCATTCACCTGCATGAAGCGATGGTCAGATTCAAACGATGCTAACGACAACTAGGCGACTTAGTATTGATAGAATCTAATAGACTAGGATATATTATATATGAGTTGTGTATAATTAGTGGGGACAAGGTAGTAAATCCTAAATATTGTATCTATATATATGGTATGTTGGTGTTCCAATTTGGTATCCAAGCACAAGAATAACCCAAAACCCTAATTTGCATCATCGGCTCTACTCAGCCCCTTCACTCGCCAGCCGCCGGTGATTCCTGCTCATCCCTTCTATTGCCAGCTGCCTTCTTCTTCTTCTCTTATTCTCAATTAACATATATAAACTTCACCCAGCTGTAACAGTAACCAACATACACAACTTCATCCCTATCACCTTAGAATTGGAAAACGGCTAATACATCTCCTGGGTTGAACAGTTTAAACTCCATTGTTAGATGTTCCAGGTTTTAGACCACATCATCCCACTGTTGCCGGATGCTTCTTCATAAAAAGACAAAGAAAGTCTCTAATCACTGAGTTAAGTAGAAATTTGATGAAATTAAATTATGTTAGGCAAGGCACTGCCGATGAATTGTGGGCTTGCCTCGATGCCATCGTATTGCAATGGATATATGGTACTATATCTGTAACGATCTACTGCATACCATCCTCAAACCCAACACTACCGCTGTTCAATGACCAGTTTGATGGAGTCATTATGCTCCTCCAACAAACCACACCTCTGTCTTATAAATGTTATGATCTATCCTCTCACAAAATCATCATCTCGCATCACGCACTTTTTGATGAACGTGTATTCCTGTTTGCCCAAAACGCCTCTACTCCTCTGGGCTGTCTTATAACTTCCTCCATTCCAACCTCTCTACTGATATCCATCCTACCATGAGGGATTCCTTCTACAATCTGGCCACAACCTCCACAACCACAGCCCCCCC